GTAATTTATAATTATAATTTTTTGTAATTTCTTTTTCGTTTGCACCTTGTACATTAAATTAAGCGTGTAACGTTGTTAGATATCCTTATATTTATTTATATCTGTCGATATAAACATTTAGTAAAATTCACTAGAACGATATTAACGTTTTGTTTTTATGATTAGTTAGGTATAAAACAACCATTGTTATAATATATAGTTAAACCCACCCTGCACTCATTAAGCGCTTAATTGTTAATTGTAGTCCAATAATATTAAACGTCGTATCTACATTGTTTTTTTAGTTATCCACCGTATAGCTCTATCTGTACTTGTTTTTCGCTTGATATGATAAATAAGTCTTGGATCTTATAGGAATGGACGTATGATTTTACTCATTTCATTATAGTTTACTTGTCACAATGTAAATTTTATACCTGTGCTCATCAAACTGACAACTTAAGCTTATCATAAGAAATGCATGTTTTTTGATGAATTCATAATCCTTTACTAACCAGGCTCGACTAGTTTTGCCAAGCGTTTCTAGTTTTAACACATATGTTAATAATTTTCCATTTGGGGATCTAGCGTTTAAATAATTAACGAACGTTAATGAAACCTAGTGGTCGAGAACTGAGCTTACTAGGGAGAACTCGATATAAAAGTTGTTGTTATAACCGTCCACAGTAGTCATAGAATATATAGTTCTCAGTTTGGTGGACACTTTAATGCCGCCGGTTTCGTTTCATTTTAAATTGAATCGTATTTGTATTTATTTAGGTGCAAACGGTCGCCTGATTATAGAGAAAGGGCTTTATTGTTTTTGATCTTATTTCAAGTCGGGTCAGGCCCAATGTGAGCTATACCACTCTCAGCGTCCGTTTCTATATTATCAATGATGACGATATTTTATGATAATGTCCGCATTCTGCTGCTGATTACGTGAACCATCCTATATTTTATGAATTATTTAGTATTGACTTCTTTGTACTATTTTGTAGATTATGCTAACTGGAAGTCAACCAGCAAGCGAGGATTTGTCATGGTCGACGGACGATACCCGTGTCCAAATATCTGCGGCCGAAGTTACAAAGCCCTGCACGGAGTACGGCAACACTTGAGATATGAATGTGGCGTACAGCCCAAGTTTCCGTGTGAAGTGTGCCACAAGAGTTTCGCCTACCGGAATGTGTTGAAGATTCACTTAGCTACGGTTCATAATAAAATGACCATTTAACTCCAATAGCACCTGTATGTATAATGTGTATTCAGATATAACTAGCTATACAAAATTGCAATTTATATACCCCATTCGCCTATAGGATCTCCTATAATATCATAATTACTATAGTTTACAGCTTAATATATACAATTATATTAATTGTTGTATACTTGTTTTTGTATATGTGTAACATATTATACAACATTGTTTTATCAATATCTTAATACATGGGAACATTTAAAAAAAAAAATTATTTTTTATTAGATTATTATACAATTTGTATACTGTTAATTTACTCGAGCATCTGTGAACACGGCCGTTTTTATACAGTGAGTGTTTATAGTATTATAGGTTGCGATTAATGATTATATGGCAGATCACATATAAATCGTATGTTAATCTGACAGGATTGCCTTCTATAGTAAAAATTGTTCTACATTTGCTTTATGGTCACATTATTATGTTTTTTGCGTTGAATCGATTTGTTTTTTTTTTTTTAATAAAAACTTTTGCTAAACTTGGACTTTTTATTTGAATCATACTTTGCATAATAAACTTTTTTCACATGTACTTTAATTTTTATGAGTCTGGTGTTATACTGGTTAACTTAATTGTAAACAATTCTCAAGATGGGTTAAAACTGTGAAAACTACTACTTGCTACGCGACGTTATAAAAACATTTTCATCGCCAAAAAAACGTATGTATTTTAGACTAATTTCTTAGACTTATAATATTATTTTTGGCTTTGTAGCAGACAAATGTAAATTGCTAAGTTAACTGTTTGCTTTAATATTGCATTCCAAACCCATAAGTATACACTGACATTGATTAAATATACTATAGATCAGTGGCGCAACAAGATATAGGGTACGAGGGATTTTTAACACTTGCTAAAATGGTTTACTTTTTTTATTCCGTCTGAGTTAGGTATATACTAAAAACATTCTAACCATTTCCGAAAATAATGTCTAGTCGCGCCATTGTAACCTGATATAGACAACGCTTTCTTTTAGTCGACAATTTGTGCGTTTATTTGACTATTCCGATAGTAAAATTATCATAAAACTATTAAAAAAGAACTCAAAATTCATGATAAATGGGCGTTGTCTATCTCTATAAAATAGTATAGTAAATCGGTGACAGCATTTAGATTTTAGTCGATATTATTTAATTGTTAACCTTAAGTTTATTATCGTGTATAGCCATACCAAATGCATTCGACGATTCTGTGAGGTACTTATGCCCGAATGCGTTCTGCTGCCGGAGCTACAAAAACAAAGGATCGCTTAGCTTTCATTTGAAGTACGAATGCGGTAAACCGCCGAAATACCAGTGCAGTATTTGCCAGAAGCCATTTCACCAGAAATCAAATTTCACCAAACACATCAAGCGAATGCATCAGTCACTTTCGACCGTCGACGCCGACGCCCTTTATCAGCTGTCAGGCAAAATTAAAAATTAACCTTAACCGTCAAAATCGTTGAGCGAACCTTTTACAATTGTGCATTGTTATTTTTTCTATGACTTCGACGTGTATCGTGTATTAATGTTTTAAATGATCGAAACAAATTATTAACCACTATTGTACCTATTAGTGATGGGAATCGGAAAATCCGGATTTTCACAAAAAAACGCTATTTAAGCTACTTAAAAATCATATAAGTGTTAAATAATTTTACAATATAAAGCTCTATATCTAAGTAACATTTTTTTGATAAATATGTGAAAATAAAACAAAACACCAAAGAGATAAACTGCTTTTGAATTGCGGATTTGTTGAAATCCGAAAATCTGGAATCCGAAATCCGAAAGCATTTTATAGACAAAGTTACGAGTTTTTTTTTAAAAATTTTTATCAAAAAATTTTACTTAGGTACACATCTTTATATTGTAATAGTATTTAACAATTATATGATTTTCGAATGACTTAATAAGCGTTTTTTTGAAAAATCCGGTTTTCGGATTCCCATCACTAGTACCTATATAATGTCTCGCGTTTGTCTAACTACAAGTATACACCTACTGTGATAAAACCATAATTATTAGTATTCATTAAAAATGTTTTATCGCTTAAAAATGTTATATTATTGTTTTTTTTTTTAATTGATAATCGAAATTTAAATAAATTTGAAAGAGATAGAGAAATTATCCTTATTAGTGAACTGTGTTCCACAAAAAGACCTGAAATTGTATGTTTGGAAGATCACATTAGAATTTCGTGAACCTTTATTAACCTGTGTCCATAACGATTTGCGTTGATAAGTATTTTAATCGCATGACTTAATATTTAAAATCAATTTTGCTCTAGTATATTTCATTGTTAGATTTAATGATGTCTTAATAAAATGTTAGGATAAAATGACATAGGTTATCAATCTTTATGTAATAAAAGCTGTTATTTTTACATTTACTGTAATTATATTATAATAAAACAAATACTTGTGTAATGTTAGCGTTAGCAGTAGTGTGAGACAATTGTTTCAACTTTCAAGCTTGAAACGTTTATAATTTTCAGTCTTCTTTTATATTAACGATCATATATTTTTTTTTACTTCAGATTATCATGCTAACGATACATTGTCTAAGTTCCTGTGCCCAAACCAAGGCTGCCACAAGAGCTACCGAGCCAAGGGCAGTCTGAGCCGACATTTGCAATATGAATGTGGCATGTCACCTAAGTATGCGTGTCCATACTGTCCCAAGAAGAGCGCGTTGAAGTCCAACTTGAAAAAACACATAGTATTAATTCACAGCCTCATGACTAGTCCAGTGTTAATTAACGACGAGTAATTTAATTATTATCAAACAAATTCAATGAATATAATTAGCAGTCCTTTTGTTAATCTCTGTACGAACTTATTAATTTAAATATATAATATATAGTAATTCCGAATAGTGTTAACTAGTTATGTAATTATAAAACTATGTGTGTAATTCATCAAGTGTAAAAAAGTTTAAAGTTAAAATTTTTTTTTGTTAAACCTATGTAATATATTTGTGTAGATATATTTAGATAAGTATAATAAGCCGTATACTAAAGTTGTTTTTTTTTGTTAGTTCTAATTGTAGATCTTTAATAAAGTATACATTATATATTTTATTTTTATTTGTACGTAATAAAAATTATTAAATGTAACACTAATCTGTCTACGTCGGTTCTAAAAATGCTTTGTTATAGCCCTAAAACGGTGCTAGCTATGTTATAATTTAAAACCGATAGACTATTTTTAAGAAGATAAAAGTTTAGGGGTAATCTGATTTTTTTTTTAATCAATTAAAACCATATTTTAAAAATTATAAATTAAGTTGTCAATAGTCATAATTTGTTACTAAATTTCATAGTTAAGCAAAGTTTTAATAAAAGTAAATTTTGAAACATACCTAAGGAGGTTTATATAAATGTATGGCCACAATTGTCAATTAATAATATTTATCGGGTAGAAATTTGTGTTCACTCTAATATTATAAAATCACAATTTATAATAGTTGTTTGTTTATGTACCTACATTAAACTTGCCTACTATCTATTTCCTCAAAATGAATGATTCATTTTTGAAGATTTACAAACATTAAATCTAATTCGTTTTTAAAACTAATTATAATCTGTAATTCAATACTAGGTCGTTTTTTTAACTTAGTAAGGACCAGTTAAATTGTTTTTGCGACTTCATTTATTTGCTTTTATAGTTCGATATGTATAATAAAATTATTGAAGTTTATATTGATAGCGGTTTTAGGCAAATTATACAAAATAGTAATGTATGGTTTAAAATAGCTCTTGTTTTATTTTTAGGTAGGATAGAATGTCCAAACGGCTGCGGTCGATCATATAAGTACAATACAGATCTAAACCGTCATTTGCAATACGAGTGTGGAATATCGCCCAAGTATGCGTGTCCGCACTGCCCCAAGAGGAGCGCGTTGAAGTCCAACTTAAAAAGACACATAATATTAGTTCACAGCCTCCTGACCAGTCCAGTGTTCATCAAATAACAGTAAATATGTTACTAGTAAATGAATTTAATGAATATAAAAATAACAGTTTTTAAATGTCTATACAACCATATTAATTTTAATATATAATATGGTAAACACAAGTAGTGTTAAGTGGTAATGTAACTAATAATCATATTATTTAATGAACCTTGTTAGAAATAAAGTAGTATCGATACTTTTCTTTTTTTAAAAACGGCGTAGTTTTTCACAATTTAACTTAAGTAATATATTTCTATAGATATATTTGAATATGTACAATTCTATACATTAAAGATTATTTAACATAACTTTAATCTGTCTGCGTTAAGTCTTAAAAATGCTTTGTCATACCCCTTGAAAAGTGATAGTTATGATTAACCGTATGCTTTTTTTTAAGTAGACGAACGTTACAGTTAAATCGATAAAAAGATTGTTAAAGTTTTTTAAACGTAATTAATTTTTATTGTTAGTTTGTATACTTATCTAGAAAAACTATGATGGTAACATTGCTGCCGAAATACGCGTATACTCCATAGTGTAATTATTTTCGTGGATAAGGTTTTGTTTTTTAATATATCATTATTTTATTTCTTTATTATATACAGGGTGATACTTTTATCACGAACCAGCCAAAATCTCACTAGGTTTAATTAATAATTATTTTTTTTTTTTATAATGTTTTTATAAAACGTGATCTCAATTTTTCAAATATTTTTTTTCGTTTTTACCCCCTCCCGACTTAGTTTTCGGACAATTATTTTTAAAGTTAAAAGAATTTAAAAGTTATGATGGGGGGGGGGAAGTGCGGTTGGGAAATGCGCGCAGATAAAAATAAAAATACACTCCACCTTTCCTCCTGCCCTAAACTTGAAACTTCAATAACTTCAAAAATAGTTATCTGAAACTGGTTATCGACCAGTCAACATTTTTAGTTCATTGTTCTCAATTTAAAAAGTTAATAAAATATGTACGTTACCATTTAAGTTTCAAAAGTTGCTATCAAAAAACTAAGTAGAGAGAGGTAAAACAAAAAAATTGTGAAAAATTAAGATCACGTTTTTTAAAAACATTATAAAAAAAAAATGTAATTATTAATTAAACCTAGTGAGATTTTGGCTGGTTCGTGATAAAATAATCACCCTGTATATATATATATATATATATATACTTTTCCATTTACTTAAAATTAAGTGTAGTTATTTTAACACATTCATACAGATCAACTATAATTAATTTTTTGTAATTCAATACTTAGGTGGTTTTCTTTAATTTTGTTGCTATGGACTAGCTATAATTATACTTGCATACTTGTTTTATTTTTAGGTATGATAACGTGCCCAAACATATGCGGCCGATCATATAAGTACAATAAAGGAGTAAATCAGCACTTGCATTATGAGTGTGGGAAACCACCCAGATACGCTTGTTCAATCTGCCCCAAGAGGAGCGCGTTAAAGTCTAACCTAAAGAAGCATATACAGTTGGTTCACAAATTTAAGATTAGTCCTGTTTTTATCGTTGAACCTAACCTAATCGATCCGTAAACCTATTGCTCTTGCTATTTTGCAAACTCTGTAAAAAAAAAATATGACAAACAGAATAAAAAACTAATATTATTTTTTGTGTATTTGATGTGATTCGTGTGTGAATAATATCAAGATAGAAAATCGTCATTGAAGAAACCCTATCATTAACGTATTCTAATGTATTTGTATTCATATTTTATTGTATATGCCAGTTTTTAATTATTGTTGTGTTGTTTATTTTGCTACTCATGTATGCAACAGTAAAACGATAATTACCCTATAACACAAAACTAACTGTTGTCGCTCTATAATTTACAGGTAGACTGACGTGTCCTAATGGTTGCGGTCGTTCCTACAAGTACAAAAACGGACTTAAACAGCATTTTTACAATGAGTGCGGTGTGGCACCTAGGTTTCGCTGTCCTTTTTGTCATAAGACGAGTACTGTGAAGTCTAACCTAAAGAAACACATTGCAATGGTCCATAAATGCTTGACCACTTGTCCTGTTCTAGTCACCGACGTGTAATCCAATAGCTGTTTCTGTTTTACAAATATTATATATTTTGTATACTATTTTTTACCATTACAGTTTTTGAGTATTTTATATTTTGTCCAATAAAACAAGAATGTTTCCATATACGATTACACTTAGCTAAATCCGCTAAATCAGCGCATGGTATAACTTACATGGGAAAGAAACTCAATAGTAGTAATTGTATGTAAAGTTATATAAACGTAATGCGTATCATAAACTTGTTGTGGTACTTTAATATTAAGCCAAGCAAGAACATAACTTGCGGATATTCCAGACTTGTTAACACATTTAGTCATAAGGTTATTGTTCCCAGTAGCGGCATTGCAATTATTACTTTTTAGATTAAATACGTGTTTTTAGGTTACTACTATATGTTTAATATACGATTTGAATCATCTATCGACGTTTTGAAAGAAAACTACTACAATTTTCGGTGCTGTATATATCAACAGTCGGGAATGGCAACCGCAACGTCGAATAACAACAGTCATGATAAATACCAGTATGACATCTAAAACGTTTGCAGACTACTGACCAGTCTAACTGTTGTACACTCTAGTGACCTTAAAACATATAATTAGCATAAATACAATAATCCATTCAATATGTAAACAATCGGTATTACTTTATAAATCCTTAGTAACGTATTCCTCGTTGTAGTATAACCAGGTCTGCACTTACTATAATAGTGTTTTCATAACACAAGTGATCTAAAAGACTAAAGCAATTAACACACTTTTCTTTTAAAATTATAGCCATTTTGTAGTTTTTTTTAAATGATAACCATTTTAATTTTTTGCAGTTTAATTATAAAGTTACCAAATATACTTTTGGTATTATTTTCTAGAGCGCTATTATCTCTTGTAACTTTTTAAATTAAGAATAGTTTTGCCAATAACGGTAATTGAATATTTGAGATTCGTAATAAGCAGGTATTTACTTTTTTTTTAATTACTTATCGAATCCGAATATTTGAACTATTTGATATTTCCAATTTAAATCGCATTCCTAGTATTGGAGTACGTCAGTGTGCTGATACAAATAGATAATATTTAGATGTTTTTTTCAAACAAAATTAAATGTTGACAACCTCGCCTATTTTAATTGACGCACACTAATATTCTTGTATAGAACACGGAAGCGTTTCTAAAACGTTATACGGTATTCTAATAATTTTTTTTCTCTCTAATTTACAGGTCGACTGATGTGCCCTAACAATTGCGGTCGTTCGTACAAGTACAAAAAAGGACTTAAACAGCATTTTGAGGTGTGCGGCCTAGCACCTAGGTTTCACTGTCCGTTTTGTCCTCACAGAAGTTCTATGAAGTCTAACCTAAAAAAACACATTATACTGATTCACAAATCTCTGACCACTTGACTTTTATTACACACTGACGTATAAATCAATTGCCGTTTTTACAAATATAATGCAATATAGCAATTTTTTATACCATTTTTAAAAAGAACTGCTTGTGTACTTTTACAGTGTCCCATAATTCTAGAATGTTTTCCATATGCGATTACTTAACTTGTCGATAGTTCAGACGTAATGAACATATTAAATCTTAAAGTTTATTGTTCCCAATAGCGTCATTGTAATATTGTTTTAATTTTTAGATTATAGACGTGTGGTCAGGTTACTACTCTAAATATGTATAATAAACATATAAATGGTGTAAATACGAATCCATAAAGCGTGTGTTAACAATCGATTAATGTATTTGTTTAAGTCCTCTTTAATAACGGATTTATTCTCGTTATGTAACTGCATCTGCACTATGTATAATTTTACAGTATTATCTACTCTTTTTTTTTTTTTTGATCAACTGGTGGCGTTAACTTTTGATAATTAAAACAAATGATTGCTTTACTATATAATATATATAGCGACTACTCAGCAATGTCTGATGGATGAGGGATAAAATAAGTTCTCGGCTATACGCAATACTATATGGCATTTTACCGTGAATAGTATCAATTGTTAATTCAGGGTTGGAATATTTATATCTTTGTTTAAAATTAATAACAAATATATTAACTTCAACTTTTAGGCGGCTGTCGTAGTATGTCATATGCCAGGAGGTTAGTAGATTGTACTAACCCGACACTCCCTCGATTTCTTTGATATTTTTAAAAACCTGAGTATTCCAAATTTCAACCGAATTGAACGACAAAAACACGTGCCGAAAAAACCTTTGTGGCCAGTTCAGTTGAAATTTGCGAAACAAAGCAACCCCTCGACCATCTTTGAATGGTTTTTCATGCGTTAGCAGAATAGTCACCCTGTATTTAACAAGATTAACCTCGTGACACGTAAACACAAAATGTTCTTTACGATTTGTTTTTTCAAGTGGTGGTTTATTAAACGTACTATTGATACTTTATTATTTTAAAAACTTACAAATATTGCCAACCCTGATTATTTCAATTGACGAGCACTATATTATACTTGTGTGTCGGGTCAACACGAAAGCATCTCTAAAACGTTACACGGCTCACTAATTGTATTTTCGCTTTATTAGTTGCAGGTCGACTGAAGTGCCCTAACGGTTGCGGTCGTTCGTACAAGTATAAAAACGGACTTAACCAGCATTTGTACTACGAGTGTGGCGTGGCGCCTAGGTTTAGCTGTCTCCACTGCAGCCAAATGTTCAAGCACAGCAGCGACATGAGGAGACATATCAAGTGCAAGCACTCATCTAAACTTTAACACCGTATTAATTGTACAATACGTCAGCTACAACGATTACTATTGTATTGCTTTTGTACACTATATTCTATGTATGTGTGATTCACAATTGTAGCGGACCCCAAGCACGTCCGACACAATCGCATTTATTATCTATATCCATCCTACCTCTTGTCCAATTCGCTTATACTCGGATGTACACATACAACTAAAATCTAAATAAAATTACCTGTATATTTCGTAAATGATTTTATTACTACTATTTTTTTTTTATTCTATTGTATCGATTCAAATAAACAAATATTGACAACACTCCCGCTATCTCCTTCAGTGTTTGTCGAGCGTAGTGAAGCTTTTAGAAAAATACCATATGTTATGCTTTATTTTTTTTATCTCTTCTTTTATTATTTAACACTTTTTAAAATAATACATTGTGTACGTGTATTGTCTTCCTATGTATTATTATAAGTAGTATATTCTATCGTATGTATTTAACAGTAGTATGATATCGTTTTTAGCAGCTCGTGCGTCGCTTTTTTCCACTAGTGATTTTTTATTTATCTGTGCTGCAGTAGTGTAGTGTAAACCTTAAAGTATATTCATACACTAGTCTTGTAATCGTATATTCCCATTTGGCCTGTATAACGTAAACGTTTTGAGTACTATGGTGGCGTTGTCGCCCAAAGTGGTCAAAATTAATGAAATTCGATTAAAGTTTACTTGATTTTTTTTTTCTTCGATTTTCTAGATTACATGCCTCCGCCTCCTGCCCCGGCTGATTTTGGTTTCGGACATAACATGCAGCGGATAATGTGCCCCAAACTGTGTGGTCGCAGTTACAAGCGCATGGAACACCTGAAGCGGCACATATCCTACGAGTGCGGCGTCGAACCCAAGTACCAGTGTAACGTGTGCCAGCGTAAATTCGTCTACAACTTTAGCATGAAAAAGCACATGGGTCTCGTCCACAAAGACATGAAACAAGAGTAAACCGTATTAGAAAACAAAAAAAAAAATACCCACTCGTCGAAGTGCGTACACAAAGTGAAACCCGTATTATTATTATAAAAAAAAATTTCTTAAATTTGTCTTAAACGTCGTTTATAGATATCCAGTACGTACAATAATTATATACGTCAAATCCTGTGTGTTTTTGCTTAAATTGTTAATGCAATAATAATCGCGTGTAAAAAAAAAAACGGCGACGACACAATTCGAAAACGGCCATTTCGAGTTTTGCCGTCGCTGTTTTTTTTTAATACATTAAAAAAAAAAAAAAAATACAAAGCACTTTGCGACATTGCAAACGTATGAAATACATATTATCATGCGCCGTCGGCATAGCCTTACCGTCAACAGGACGAGTTGTTGAAGTAACCGCAAAACGAATACAGAGTTATTATTTTGAAGTTAATTCAACATTGTCCTCTTAAGTTGAAACTAGCGCTATTTATGTATTGATACATTTGCAAAAGTGTTGATTTCAATGGTGATTTGTGTAGTTTTTTTTTTTTTACAATTTTAGCGAAAACGCATAGGATAACGGGAAAATATTATATTTCTTGGTTTTAAACTTAAAAGCTTGTTAACTAATTTGTTTTATTATTAACCACTATTGCCACTACATCATGCCGTGGATATTAACTTATAGATGTAAGTTTTTATTTTTTTTTTTGCTGTAATTTTAATGGAAACATTTTTTTTTATACTGGCTACCTCATTATTGAATCTATTGTATTACAGGACTAACAGTTATTGTTGTATGATGTATACGTTTCTTAGTGATAAGTGTAACTACGAACACAATCGGTATAATAGTGTATTATGTTGTAACGCATGTTATATTAGTGGAAATTCTTATTGTTTCTAGTACAATTTGAGTAATTTCTAGTAATTATATTGAGAGTAAATACTTAAATGCAGTTTTATATTTTATATAATCCGCATAATAATCCTCGCTATTTTTTTATACACAATTAATTTTATTTTTATACCGAATTCCTGAGTAATTCGTGACTGATAAACCATTTACATTTGCTAATAATGTCTTTTATTGTATTATTATTGTAATAATTTCTATTTTTGTGTTGATGTCGTTTGTATACTGTAAAATGTTTCTTGTTATGTACTCGGTACTATTTAGGTGTCGAATAATGTAAAGAACGTTAAACTATTTTATATTTACTGACTAATAAAACGAAAACAAAATTTATAATTATATATCAAACGTTTCAAGTTGCTATTCAATGAACTTTCAAACAGTTGTATTTTATTAAAGTTATATGTGTATGCGTGTATATTATAATTTACACATTGCAATAATGTGTATAATGTACACATAAAATATACCTACTATAATTTGTTTTAGTTTTTTGGGATTCAGGATTATATCCGTGTAAGTTCATAAGTTATTCATAGGTAGTTTTAATTAGTATTTATGTCAATAGTGTATACAGTCTGTCATTTTTGCGGGCCGGTTATCGGTTGTAAATTTAAGCGTTGGTTTTTATCTCGTCTAAGTATAATAATAATAATAATAATAGTATTTAAATAGCTTTGGACGGAGAGACGACCATCGTTGTTTTGTTCGGATAACCGTCGAGACCAACTTAACACATTAGTTTTTAAAACGTCATGTGCGTTTCCTATTTTGTTTCCACAGGAGAACTAAAGGAAAACATTAAATTCAACTGCCCCAACATGTGCGGCCGGCGCTACAAGAGAAACTCTGAGCTTAACAGGCATCTGAAATTGGAATGCGGTGTGTCCAAGAGATTTCAATGCCCCACGTGTTTAACAAATTTCGCCCGCAAAGAAGTACTGAAGAAACACATGTCGTTCTCGCATTATAACACGTACATTTCTCTTCCAAGTAAATTTTCAACAAAATATCTATACAGCGTGCTTTTACAAACTAGTTATATTGCTAACGGTCATTTTATCGACCAATTTATAATGTATTTATGATATTCGTGTTGACCTTAGGTCACACACAATGGATATAGCGTACAGTACATAGGCTTGTGTCTAACATGTTTGAGGTCAATGGCCGAGCAAACATACATTTGTTCTATTGCGCATGCGGTGTAATGTTGTGAAAGTGTATTACGCCTGCGCAGTAGCTATCGAGCATGCGCAGTAGTACGTGTATGTTTGCTCGACTATTTAACTCGGCTAGATGTTGGATACAACACGTTCCACAACTATAGATGCTCTATCCATTGTATATGATGTAATAAGGTGTTGACCGTGTTCGTTTCGTTAATAGTTATTGTTTTTAAATTGTTTTCAGGTGCTTAATAATTGGATCTCCCGAATATAATTTATCGGACTCGAGTGACCAGTAATGATATTAGAAAAATATATTAAAAGTATCTCAATAACGACAGACCGTCGTTTATGTATGAATTGTCATATAGTTTTTGTTTAAAATAATGATTTATTAAAAAATCGCGTGTATACAAGTCACGAGTTTAAAAATCTACCATGTAGTATTCTTTCTTTTTTTACTTAAATAATGATTATTAAATCTTCATTAGCGTATATTTTGTTAATCCTTAGTCCTTGTACAAGTATAATTTATGCGTTAGCTTTACTGTAGTAAGAAAGCAGTATTAGTGTTGGCGCTGAATTGGAAAAATGTGTGTGTTTTTATTTATTATGTTGTAACATTTTGTAATTTAATTCCAATTAATTAATTTTTTTTTTAATGTGATTTTTTACAGGAAATTTTTTAACGGTTGGCAGTTCTATGTATAGTTGTCCGAATAACTGCGGTCGTCAATATACTAGAAAGGACTCGATGAACCGTCACGTGACATACGAGTGTGGCGTCGAACCGCAATTCAAGTGCCGGTTTTGCGCTAAGACTTGCGCTCAAAAATATAACCTCAAAAAACACATGATTACTGTACACAACTATGCTTATCTACAGGCGATTCGAGACAAAAGAAAATGATTTATTTTATCATGAAATGTTTAATCACGTTTTCATTATATTTAAATGTTTTTTTTATTTTTTATTAAATTACTTATGCTTGTATCTTATACAATTTTAATTGTACAACTATATTTTTATTAAACGTGGGAATTCTGTTTTTAAAATGTTAATTTATTATTTATAAATTAACAATAATAAAAAATTGATTTAACGTCAACATGAGACGTTATAATAGTTGCAGGTTGTCCTATCTGAATAAAATAGTACAATTAATGTCATCCAGTAAAACAAGAAGTAATAACTAGATAATATGGAGCTTCTGTACAATACCAATATGAAAGCACTGGTACCACCATTAACATGCATGCTATAGCCCTGTGTACCACTAGAGTTTAACGCTGATACAACATACTAGATGTATATTATATATTTGTAAGTTTCAAATTTTCAATTAAGTACATAATTACAGTAGATGCTATCTGAAATATTATGTCTTGTGGTAATGAACCTTATCAACTCCGAAATTTTTAAACAACTCAACTTTAACTGTAGCCAGCCTTCACTGAATTATTTAAATTGGAATGCTCTGTCCACAGCTAAGCAACATTTTGTCTGTGCCGAGTTTGAGACATATATCGTCAGGCGAGAGCAAACAAGCAACGATGTTATCGAAAATATTGTTTACGCGTGGACAGATTAATGATGTTTTCATTTACTTCTACTATAACGTGGTTAATCGTCGATCTGTGGGGACAACGTGTGATTAATACTTACTGATATTTGTATTGATTGTACTTATTTGGCCACCACTGTCCAAGGCATATGTACCTAAATGTCGGCGAATGCGGTGTTATTGTTTGCTGAAACGCTTTAAATTAACCCATTATATTATGTTTGTCTATATTATTCATTATCCCTCCTATCACCTAACCAATTAATTTTTCTTTCTTGTGCCGTCGTCGAACGCAATGTATTTCATTTTTGTTTTTTATATTTGTTTTTAGGTACACGATTGTTACGGGAGTTGTTGAGGACACCGACTGTGATCCAACCGCTCGCGAACAACTCGCCAATGTCCGTGCTTGCTAGCATGTTAGAAAGAGAGACGATAATTGTACCGAAACCCAAATCCTCGGATACTACAAGCGGAGAAACGCATCCTTGCATTAAATGTAACACCGATTTACCCGTATCGAAACCACACTCGGACCACTTGTGCAATGCGAATGACAGTGGTTTTCAATGTTCAATTTGTTTCAAGATGTTCGAAAAGAAAAAAGGTCTGGCCAATCACCTGAGAATGATTCATTTGGTTTTCGATTAAGCATAAATGTATACTTATATACCTTTTTTTTTAAATAGTTTTTATGTTTGTATTACTGAAATGTTTAATGTTATAACAATATAATAAATACTCTCTAAGTATTACGATTTTTATTTATGTTTTATTTTATAAAACAGCTGTAAATTATATCAAACTTCCAATGTTTGGTGTAAACCGAAGGGTGCTTGTTTATTGTACAATAACCCGAATATAACAATCCTATCAACTGGCGTTGGCTAATATATTTTTATCACTTAACGTTGCAGGTATCCAGATTTCTTCGGACGACTCCTTTGACGAGATTGGTCAAGATTACACTCCTTTGTTTACCCGAAGGTTTTCGACTATGTGTTTAAAAAGGAATACTTAACTGACGATAACTACTCTAGTCTTGATTTAATCGAACACAAGCGACCAACAATATTTCCATCTCTTTGATTAGTGTTATGAGTATTATGGCTAGTTTACCGGCGATCATTGACGCTCGTACCAATCAACCACGATTAATATGCACGTGCTAAGTATAATAGAAAATATGTACTTAATTTTCTTTAAATACATAAAATTTGTAAATCATACCTAGATTTGGCATTTTGTTTGTCATTGATTCATTTATTAAACGGAAATCATTATTATAAACAATAAATAACTGAATTTTTGAGGGTAGGAAAAAAATGTATGATGCATGTTAGATGATGGCATGTTTTTTTTTTTTAAGGAATTTGTGTAGAGACAACATTATTTATTTTTTCCTTGTGTTACAGTTTATTCCTATTGTGCATTTAAATACCTATACTAGGCAGTCATCGGCTAATGAATAAATAACGTACTCTATATGACGTTACTATACATTTTGGGCAATCAATGAAATGATCTCTTATCCCCCCCCCCCCAGTGCATAATACATAAAATAGTAATATCTAAATATTATAATTTATAACCTATTCATTCGATGCATATTTATTATTAAGTTAATCACTTTGGTTCCTCTATTCCACCATATACTTATATTTTGAAGCCGCAAACAATTTTTATCAATGTTATGGATTGTGTTTGCTGAATGATTTTTTTTTTGCCTTAAAATTCCTTCGTTTGTTTGTCCAAAGGAATGACTTTAATAACATAAAATATTAAATTGCTTATATTGTATAAATAATATTCGTGTTTTGTTTGGGGTTTTATTCGGGAGCTGGATGGTTTTTGATGATTGACTTTGGATTTATTTTATTTTTCCAGATGTATGGCTAAAGAGAAGCGACGTATGGGCCAAAGACAACCCGGCTTACTGTCCTAAGAATTGTGGTCGATGCTATAAGGGCATATGGCGAAAGTATAATTTACAGAAGCACTTGAAATACGAGTGTGGGGTAGAGCCGCAGTTCAAATGTCCCGTGTGCCCAAAAAGTTTCTCTTTAAAAGCCAACTTAAAAATGCACCTGATGGTCGTCCACAAAATCGTGTTGGGCCCACCCAACACAACGATGCCGTGAGAGGCATTATTATTCTCTTTTTAGCATTTCAAAGGTCATATAAGGACAGCAATGGCCCTACGTGGGCTGCTTAAGCTGGTTCCTATGTATATACGTCAGTTGCCATTTTACTTTTGCACCAAAAGTATAAAACAAAAAATAACTCTCAAAATTCAAACCATATAATATTAGGTTATAAACTAATACATACTGTTTACCAATTAACAAACTATTATATAATTACTCAATGCTGTGTTAATTATGTATGATTATTATTATTTGTTTGTATGTGCGTGTTTTTATAAAAATGTGTGGGGTGTTTTGTTTTTTTATTTTACCTACCGCTTTTGTTATGTTTGATTGGCTTGTATACATTAACCGATCTACGTCTGTCATTACAATTGTCAGCAAGTCCTCTTCCAAGTTAAAACTATATCTGTCACAATTCAAATATTATGTCTTTGTCTATTTTTGCTAACGACTTACATTAGTTGAACTGGTTATTGCAGAAACAACACGTATAACATTGTTTGATTTAGGGGAAAAAAACTGTATTTTTCTACTTGTAGATTCTGCTTTAAATGGAGTTTTCGTTTTTTTAAATATACTTAATGGTGCATGACGTGTTGTTTTTACACAAAAATAAATGTTTAGAAATACTCTACAAGAATCTACTATAATTACAAAACCGTTTAAAATGTTACACAAGTGTCGCTTCTGAAATAATCGGTTAAATTATTATTTCATTACAGCTGAGTTAATGTTCTTGATTTTTGTTTTTTGTATAAATTGTTAGTTACCACCATGTTATTGTTGTATTATACATTAAATATAAGTCTTAAACGAATAGTGTCTGTTACCACTTCTTTCATTCATATTATGGTTACCCGGTTTATATTAAGTATATATTTTTTAAATTTATTAAACAAAATATTTCTATATTATGTTACATTTAAAATTATTGTTACAAAATTATAACTACTATTTCTATGTAAATAATAGGTGCAAATTATAATATGTTATCGTATAACAAATAAGTAATATATTATTTTTTTGTTTATGAAACTGTATGCTTACGTGAATGGTATTTTTTTATTGTTTCAAATTAACATAATTACAATTTACATACTTATAAAATATGTAAAATCGTTGTATTCAGCGTTAAGGTTTTTTAACTGATTCTTACTTGAGTTAAAATATTTAATTATTACTTTTTACTATGTAATACTACAATATTACTTGTATTTTTAGCTAGAACAACAACTAAAAACTATTTAGTTTTTTGTAAAGTAAAAACTTAAAAACACTTACATAAAATGTCTATTTTTAACGTTGATATTCCTATTCTGGAAATATTGTGCAACTTTTTTTAATTAATATATGGTGTCACTTGTGAAATCATAACATTTCAATTATAAATCATTAAGAATATAAAGGAATCCGTTCGTTTAGTTATACAATCTCGTGTTTGCTAATTCAATCTAAATATATTTTAATAATAATTAATGTTATTATTTCTAATAGAATAATTATTACTTGTTTTAGATTCGCAATCTCACTATTGTCCTAACGGTTGTGGAAAACGTTTCTCGGGCAAAACCGTAAAATACACAATTGTTCAACATTTAAAGTATCATTGCGGCGTGGAACCTAAATTCAAATGTCACATGTGCGATAAAAAATTCTCAAGAAAAGAATCATTAAAACTACATTTAGCCAACCGACATGCAATTATATTAAAGTAACATTGTACCTTAAAATGTCGATGATATAGAAGTACGTGCGTGTCGCTTTGACAATTTTATTAGTATATTCTACCTAATCGAACACCTTTTTTAATAGAAATTATTTGTTTTAATTGTGCAACTATTTTTGTTTTTATCAGATGCTAATTCTAGCTGCTTGAATTCTTCATGTATTAAACTATACATACCCGCTAGAAAATACATTATATTTTTTAAGTGCAAACTAAGTCATCAATGACCGTAGTGTTTTGTATGTTATGAGAACGTAGATACTATTTAACAATATATGCCTAACCTAATAAAAAAATATATTTACCATGTAAATTTTTTTTTATTCCAGCGAACGCTTTTATCCGTTTTAAAAACATTTTTAAATCATTATCGACTATCGTCAACATGCAATAAGTCGGTTGACCTTTTGTTTTTTAGCTCACTTGCTGAAAAGAGTGCATTTGGCGGGTGTCCATGATCCTGCTTTTTGTCCGAATTTGTGTGGTCGCTTTTATGGCGGTCGCAACCGAAAAATCACTCTTAGAAATCACTTGATGTTTGAGTGTGGCGTACAAAAGCAGTTCCAGTGTCAATTTTGCCAAAAGAAGTTTGCCCGAAAGGAGACTTGGAAAGTACACTTGGTCAGTGTACACAAATTCATAGTCACATAACCTACAAGTCTACAACAACCATGTATTCAACGACAAGCATTATGATTGTACGTCATTTTTTTTTTGAATTTCGGGTTAAATGATTATTGCATGTGATGATAATATATTATTTTGTCCAGAAAACCCGCACTACCCATTTTTCGTATACAACTTTCAACCGGTGCTGAATTTTTATTTTTGTTTATTTACTGGCAATCATATAAATATAAAAGTCTTTTTTAAACCTAAAAGTGGTCGCTGTATTTATGTATATACGTTATACACAATTGTTTATACACTTACCTCGAAGCCGATAATGGAAAATAACCATAAAATCTCCATTATTTTCACAGAAAAATTGAAGTAAACATAATTAATATTTCTTGTGCAAGAAATATCTACGTAGCGATTTTAGTTAACTCACGTTATGCTTTAATATGAATATGTACATACGCGTTAAAACCAACAACTTAGTTACCGCATTAACGTCGGGTTAATCAGTTAATAAGTCAACTATTTAATTGTTCCGAAAACAACAGACCCGTGGTTGATCCTTATAATTTTAATTAACAATGAAATGTACTATGTGTTTGAATATGTTAACGTTAAAATGTTTAATAAGTAATAATTTCTCAATCTCTTACCAGGTAGTGTAGATTGGTTTTCCCCCAGTATTAAAAGGGGTTTCGGTGGCCGAATAACCTTAGTTTCAGTCCTTATTTTATGGACTGCGGATGTGTGGAGTTGTTTGTATAGCTATCCGTTTAGGTAATTAGTTTTGTAGAAGATACATTTTAAATTAGTGTGCAGGACTGCTGAATTATTTTGTGTGAAAACTGAGATTGGCCCTTTGAGTTCATAGCAACATTTAAGTGTAAACGAACCCCCCAATATCCCTAAAAACTAATAGATATTATACACGGTGTGTTCTGGTATCGAAGTTTAAGGTTTCGAGATCTCTCAGTGGATAACCGACAAGGATATCATATGACAATCGGTCAAGTATTTTAATTGAATTTTTTGAGCAATTTATTAAGCAATGCATTTTTATTGTAAAACGGGCTGAAGTCGGCTTGTGTTACATACAATTGGCCACCGTTCAGTATTTTGCTTAGAATCGTGTACATGCGACTTTCAACTGACTAGTATATAATGTGTCACCGCTTATTGGCTTCAATGCAATTTGTAGTGTTTCTTTTAGTGAGCCAATATTATTGTCTATATCTCAATCTCTAAGAAATTGTACGGTATTTTACAGATATCCAAACGATAATCGACATGGCCGCCCTGAACGACCCTGCTTACTGTCCGAACAGATGCGGTCGTTCGTACAATGGACAGTATAGGAAGAGAAATTTGAGAAAACACTATGTCTACGAGTGCGGTGTACCGCCTAAGTTTCGTTGTCCGTTGTGCTCAAAACAGTTTACTAGAAACAACGTCATGACGGCTCATATGTTGTTCGTTCATAAACGCATGGTGCCACGATAAAAAAATGGACCTTATGCAATTAATTGATGTTTATAGTATTTTGTGTGATTTTTCAAGTAAACGTCTCCAAACAAAAATAAAACATTACTCGCAGACGTTTTTTATAAACACTATGGTGTATGCCTGTACTAAAAAAATCAATGTACATAGAATTTCACAAATGAAAATTGTACTTAAGTACGCGTCACTCTACAATGCGATGACTATTGGTTTGTTTAGTCCATATTACCTACTCCATTGTCATAATACAATCCAGTCGATATTATACTAATAAAATACGTCATTTTCTCCGTTAACCGTCATTTTAATCTCCTTATATGGCATAACGGCGATCGAATTAGTTTAAACGAAATCTTGTATTTTATTTGCGTAATCGCTTTTGCTTAAACAACACCAAATGACAGTGTGTAATGACATACAGTAAAGTGTAGACTGTATTCTATACTATTAGTAGTTTTTCCATACACCGCATCGTTCCATATTATGCTATAACGTATTGTATTGGCGTTTGTCAACACCTGTAGAGAACGCTACGCTGTAAGTTGTAACACTGATGATATAGCGGGGAACCCTGCAAAAATAACCCACGACGACTACGGGTTTCTCGCTGTATTATCAGCTCCGCCAAAGTGTAATTATTACTTTGCTGCAAAACGCCAATAGGTATACATACGCCCTACTTCATTTTTGATTATGGTTGTTCGTAGTGCATTGCATCATGCGTATGCGCCCTTTGATAAAGGCGATGTTCTTATTAAAATCCTTTTTGGACGTTTTTGCTTTTTTTTTTTTTGCAATCAGATCAAGATGATATCCTGCGCCGAGTGGAGGTGGCGGCGGTTTACGATCCGGCTCACTGTCCCAACAAATGCGGCAGATTTTACAAGGGTCAACACAGAAAGGTGAACTTGCGCCGGCACGTGTTCGAGTGTGGCGTTTTGCCCAGGTTTCCTTGTTACGCTTGCCAAAAACGGTTTTTCCGAAATTACCAGCTGAAATTGCACTTGGTCAACGTGCACAGGATCATCCCGTTCGACACGACTCGGCCTGATGCCGGCGCACCTTCCAACGGCCGTTCGCCTTAGGCGATCACAATCTCTTCTAACCCCATAGTTAAAACTACGCCTCCCCCTTGAACGAGTGTAGTGTACGGAAATCGAGTTCAATAACATGTTTTGGATAACGCGTCACACAGTTTGACATTGAAAAGTATTTTTCTTATGTAACGTTCTTCGTCCTCTATCTTTCGTTCAGTAAAAAAAAAAAAATACGTTTTTTTATTATAATTTTTTTCATAAAAACGTAATTAATATATTCTTAACTGCAATAGCTACAGTTGTCATACAGGTCTGATAGGTTAAAACAAAAGCAAAAATAAAATTCTATTTTATTTACATATTATTATTGTTGTTATTTTTGTATTACGAAATTATTTGTTAACATATTTCAGTTGAATGTAAACGAAATAAAATGGAACACACAATATTATGTATTCGTGTTTTCATTCAAATACAATAGTCTACAGTATATTGTTTTTGTCGTTAATTAACAGTATTTTGTAAAAGTTTGCGAAAACATTTTATTATTAAGTTTCAACGTGTATAAATTATTTTATTATAAAAAAGAACCGTAATTTTACCCAATTCCTTGAAAACGATATTTCACTCATATATTTTTTATTAATGGAACTTAATTGTATAAGAGAGACGGTTTTAATTTAAAAACTCATAGCGCTTAATTATAGTTTTTTCAGTTTTATTTCTATAGATATATATTTTTTTTTTGTTTATCTGACTTAAAGAAACTGTACATCAATGATTTTATGCTTATACGCCATGTACTAAGGTCAAACACTTATAAGACATTTTAATCTTATTCTATATCTTCTTTTTTTTTTACAGCCGGTTCGATGCCGTTACATAATTTTTCCGAATCTGAGCTTGCGCAATGTCCTAACTACTGTGGCCGCTTCTACAGGGGACCCCAAAGGAAATGCAACCTGAGAAAACATTTGAAACTGGAGTGTGGCGTAGCGCCCATGTTTACATGCAATATATGCCTAAGGAAATTTACCAGAAACGAAAACTTAAAGCGACATATGATTATGGTACACAGGACGTTAATCACAACGGTCGCGTCACTCAGTAACCATTAAAAATACAATACTGTCTGTATTTGTTTAACTTTCTAAATATGGTCTTTGTGATTTTGGATAATAGTACCTATATTATATTATCTATATATTTAAATAGTCAAAATGTGCTTCGTGCAAATCATTATATTATATTATTGTCTATTGTTTTATTTATTTGTTGAATCAAAAAGTGAACCGTATATTTTTCACATTATCTTATTGACACACCAGATAAAATCGCAATAAATTATAATAAAACATAAAAAAAAACTGAATTTTCTGTTTACACAACTAAGTATCTATATATTAAAATTTATAAATGCGATAAAGGGTTAAATGGGAATTTATTTTGAAATTTTGCATTTCGCAATATATAAAATAGGTAGATACTCTAGTTTTATCAATTTTATTTGTATAACCCCATTGTTGTACAGTTTACATAAGAAAAGGCGTCAAGGATTGTGCGTCTTAATAGTTAGTTCAGATCACTAGATACTCACGATGTGTAATTACAATATTTATCGGTAACAGTACAATAACAACAACTCGAATAAAATATGTAAATAGCTTCTAAAATAATATTATTACAAACACAGATATCACCTATATTATGTTAATTCAGTTCATATGGATATTCTGCTCTGTAATAAAGGTTAGTGTTAGCATTTAGAAGAAAATCGAATAAACTCATTTTCATCGTTTCAGTAAAACACCTGTTTATTATTTTTTTTACTCTCTTTATGACACCTTTACTTTTATTTAAATATGCTAGTTTAAAAATACTTCGAAGTCATATTTTTTGTTTGTATATTATTTCCATTAATACTCATTATAATTATTAACATATATTACATTAGTATTTTGTATGGTATAGAATATGTACGCTTTCGCCGAGTAAAAGGTTTAAATGCGTACACTGGTAGACAGGGTTATGGTGTTCAGTAAATAGTCGATGTTTAACGGTAATCACGGTTTCTTGAGCTTGTTTGATAGATCTTTATTTTTGTTACAAACTAAAATACAAGTATACATCACTAACTTATTCTGAAACTCGTATGTTTTGAATTATTACGGTTCTAAAAACTATTGCATGAAAACTATCTCTAAAATGGCACGATGAGTATGCACATTTTTTAATGTAACGTATAATAGTCATTATGGATTGTTAAAGTGTTTTTTTAACTTATTTGTCGGTATGTATGTGTTTTGCAGTCACCAATCGCGTTTTCCACCAAGAAACAATTTTGAGTGATCCGTTGTTTTGCTCTTGTGGCCGTTCATACAGTGGAAAGCATCGCAAAGGAAACCTAAGAAGACATTTGTCGTTCGAATGTGGCGTTGTTAAACCGACCATCAGGTTCAAATGCGACATGTGTCCGAAAACGTATACTAGAAAAGAATCGTTGACCATACACCGTATGAATTCTCACAGAATCCTAATTTAAATTGTGACAATCGTATAAGTTGTGATTTTTAAGTTTTTTTTTTAATAAGCTAAACAATATAAATGTGTTATTAACGTTATGTATACCTTTCGTATCATTAATTTGCAGTCACCAGTCACGTTTTCCACCATAAAACCGAATTGAGTGATCCGTTGTTTTGCTCTTGTGGCCGTTCATACAGTGGAAAGCATCGCAAAGGAAACCTAAGAAGGCATTTGTCGTTCGAATGTGGCGTTGTTAAACCAACCATCCGGTTTAAATGCGACATATGTCCGAAAACTTATACTAGAAAAGAATCGTTGACCATGCACCGTATGAATTCTCACAGAATCCTATTATAAATTGTGATTTTTAAGTTTTATTTTAATAAGCTAAACAATATAAATATTTACTTAACGTTATGAATACCTTTTCTATTACTAATTTATGTTACACGTACACACTTATGTTAAGCCCTGTCAAAAACTCATGAACAGCAAATCATCCCACTAAATAAGCTAGTTTTAATTTCTATTACTTATACATCACGCTAAAAATATATAAAAATAAATAATACGTTTGAAATTGATTAGTAAATAGTTGTTATTTTTTTTTTTCAAAAATGTACACAACAAATTGTTTTACTTATTATATCTAGTAAAAATTTAAACAATTGTCTGTTACAGATAAGTGCCGGTCAATTAAGAAAAATTAACATGATAAAACCTTTATAATTAAACATTAATTAGTTACGTTCGAAAATAATACCCCATAAAACGTCAGAAAGGAATTATTATTACTGCAAAAAAAAAAAACTATTTATGTCTCTGTCAATGCTTTACATTTAAAACAAACCATTCTCACAATTAAGAACAGTATATTAATTTCTAGATTTTGCTATAATTGATTAAAAAATAAATATTTAAGAAAGTACTTATTTCGACAAAATTATTCATTAGTGTGACAGAGGAGGAAAAATTTAACTTCACGCTAATTTTTTCTAGCTAGCTTTATTAAAAATAAAAATAAAATAATTATATCCAATTAAATAATTCTATAATTTTTATAATTCGAAATGTATGCGTATAAAACATAATTTATTCTACACAATGTTATAAACATTAACTTCTTATTAATAATGTTTGCGTGGTAAACGGTGAAATGTCTACCTCTCATTTTTACTATATAATAATATTTGGGTATCAACTAGAATAAGAATACAAATCCAATAGTATTTGCTTCATATATAGTAGCTTAGCGTTTATATCTACTTACTTTTTCTAATAAAGTATAATATTATTCATGAGTAATTTGATTTGTTGTATTATTAATTGACCAATTTCGTACTAATTATTTGATCATGTAATTTCTAAAAATAGATTTTGTATTTCAGATGATGTTTTAAAAGTAGCAAGCGAAAATGATCCAGCATTTTGTCCGAATGGATGTGGTCGGTCGTACAAAGGAGTCGACCGAAAGCATAACCTCAAAAAACATATGATGTACGCTTGCGGAGTTAAGCCACAGTTCGAGTGCAACATTTGTTTTAAGAAATTTAACTACAAACACTGTTTAAAGAGTCACTTGATTAATATTCATCGAAACTTGTCATTGTGTAATCACATTTTAAAATAGCCATCCATGGTTTTGGTTTACTATACGTAATGTAGGGTTATTATACATGTACTATAACTTTCATTGTTTAAACGTTGTTATTTCTGTTTGAAAGTTCCATAGAAAGACGTATATTTTTATACCTATAGTAAAGTAACTTATGTTTGCTTGTCAGTTTTTTTTTCTTAAGCTTATTATAATTTTGTTTTAGTTAAAAAATATCATTCACCTCGTGTTTGTTTAATTAAAATATACTCGTGGTGAATGATTAAACTTAACTCAATAGTTGTCCCTATGAGTATATTACCACTTTTATTTTGTTTTTAAATATATTTTGATTATGTATTAGTCGGTTATCCGGTGATTTTCACTGTTTTTGTTCTTAGAAATTGCTTCAACTAAGCTAACCTCATTCGCTTAATATATTATCTAGAGCTTGATTAAAATGTACACAACGTGTTTGCAGATAAAGAAGAAATATTAAATCTACTAAAACACGCCAGCCAAAACGACCCAGCATTTTGTCCAAAAGGTTGTGGTCATTCGTATAAAGGCAAGGACCGAAAACGTAACCTTAAGAAACACTTAATTTATGCATGCGGTGTCAGCCCAAAGTTTGACTGTTTTTTTTGTTCCAAAAAGTTCTTTCGCAAGCACACATTAAAATGTCATTTAATAACCATTCACAAATACCTTCCTCAATAACCACTTTTAGACATGGCGGCCACTACAACTAAAATGTGATCACTAGAAGTATCTAATCGATTTGAAAGTAATAACTTATCACTTTCTGTAAAAACACTTCGATACGAAAATTGTTCATTATTAGTCATAAGTTAACAATGTGATTTTTGTTTTAATTATTATCAATTTCAATTGTTTTAATTCTTAAATATTTTGCATACCATTTTTATGAAATAAAATAGTTGGAAATAAATATAAAACTTAAGTTATTTTTTTAAAATACTAACATAATATAAGATAGTATCCTTAATGTAAGAAGGATGGGAAACCTTTTCGAGTTTGAAATGTTTTGTAGGGCGAATATTGAAAGGCGCATGTATGATTATAATTAATAATTTTTACAGTTTATTTTATTAAAATATATTGAATAATATACATTATATATAGGTAGTAGATATGCAATGATTGATTACATGTTAGTAGAAATCGGTATAGAGAGGTTACTTACAATAAACACGTTTAGTATAACGTAATCGTAATCGTTGTAAAACCAAAAAAGTCTTTCCTAGTTTAACTTATTTGCAATACTATCAACATAATTAACCCTACGTAGTGTTTAATTTTTAAGTAATAAATACAAATTTAATATATAAATTTGTATAATAAATGCAATTTTACTGCCTATTGAGTATTTACTAGTGATGGGAACTATTCGAATGTTAGAACTATTTAATTATTTAAATTTAAATCATAGTCCTGGTGTTAACGTTTATATTGTTTTTTTAAATTATAATTTTTTCTTTATCAATCTATATAGATTAGAGACTACATGAACGAGTAGGTTTTTTTGTATTATATAAAGTACATTTTTAAAAATGTTTGATATAAGTACATTTTTTGAATTTATTAGTTGTAACATTGGCTTACATTCGCATTATCCACAAACCTATTCATGAATACACGCGAAACTAAAATTATGCTTTATCATATTTCAGATTCGTCTTGCGTTTGGTTAAACCAGCTCGACTTGATCACACAAGCTGATCCGTGTATTTGTCCTAACAACTGTGGCAAAAAATATAATGGCCATTTCAGAAAACCACATTTAAAACAGCATTTAGTATATGAATGTGGCGTGCTCCCAAAATTTAAATGTGATTTTTGTCATAAACGTTTTGCTAGAAAAACAAATTTAAAATATCATTGCATAAGCGTTCATAAAGTAATCACATAAAACGCAAATGTATATGTTAATTATTATAGATTAAATTAATTTTTAATCAAAAAGTGAATCTACAATAAAAGTTATTTGAAAATCATACGCAATCAACTAGCGTGGTAGTAAAGTTACCATGATTTATTATTAAAACTGAATGTCTCGTTTATATATTTTTTTAAATATTTGTATGTTATTTTAGTAATCTTAAAACCAGTACCTTTTAATAAATAAATATATATAATCTATCTTGCCGTTGTTTGTAAATCATGTGTATTAAATACTGTTGTGAATATGTACCAATACTTAAAGTATCATTTATACATGTATGAAGTAGTGATGGGAATCCGAAAAGTCGGAATTTTTAATAAGCGGTATTAAAACCACTTAAAAATGTTGGATTTGTTGAAATTCTTTTTGGTGTTGTGTTTTATTTTTACATTTTCATCAAACATATTTTATTTGGGTACACAGCTTTATGTTGTAAAAATATTTAATACTTAAAAGGTTTTTTAGTAGTTAAAATAGCGTTTTTTTATTTATCAGTCATCACTATTATCAACTATCAACAAACTAATTTAATAAACATTCAATTTAAAATATTGTTAATAATATTCCCATACAGCAAAACTATATAGGGCGCTTAGAATTTAATGTAACTCATGACAATAATAGTTAAAAGATTTTTTTTAGCAAGAAATTAATAGAGGGGGGGATTTTTAAACTTTAATAGTTATATTACATTTAATTGGTTGTTTTTTTAATTAAGACTAATTTGCTGAAAACTTGGTTCCAATATAATTTTGTTGATTTATCAAAATTATAACATTAATACACGTAACAAGTATTTTGTATTTGTACAAATATAAAAAAAATTATATCAATCCACACCTATTAACTAAATACTATCATATAATCTATACCGACAACTTTTACTAACTCCTAAAGTATAATTTTTTAAGAAATTCAAGAAATAACATAAGTATCGTGTATTAATAATTTATTGATTTTATATTATGTAGATGGGTAATTGATTTATTTAAAATTAAAAGAAAAAACGCATTAATTTTTATATCAAATTTTTAATATCAAAATTAATTATTTTATTCGTTTTCAGAACAACCTTGCAAGTGGTTAAATCATCTTAATTTAATTACTCGAGAAAATCCATGCTTTTGTCCGAATAACTGTGGTCGATTATACAGAGGCCAGTTTAGAAAAAGTATGCTAAGGCAACACTTAGTCTACGAATGTGGAGTTGAGCCAAAATTCCAATGCAATGTTTGTTTAAAACGATTTGCTAGAAAAACAACTTTAAAATATCATTCAATTACCATACATAAACGTATAATATAAACTTTATTTGTATTCTAATAATGTCGTGTGGACTTATTGACCGGGATTATAGCTAACTTGGTCCTCACCGGTCGGCCTTTGGTGTGGTTTGCCGCTAGATCAAGCGGTACCGGTCGCAGCTTAACCTCAGGCGCCTTGCGGCAGCTGCGATATCCACTGCGCCACACCGTACCCGTATTCTGATTTACAATTATAGTGTCTTATTAGTTAATTACTTTATTAAATAACTGATACTTCTAATGCAAACTGTACAAATATATAATGCATTATTTTAATTATATAATAACTAACAGAGTTAATTTATTTTATTTTCATAAATGTGCGTACCTACACAAGTGTTGCACATTTTAATTTCTTTAATGCGAGTATTAGACTTTTAAAAGGGTAAATAAGACTTCTTATAACTATCAAAAACTCTCTAGGAATTATCATAAATAATATAGAGTTATAATTGAACATGCTTATGGATATAATATTCGTTGGCTATAATTTTTAATCAGCTTTCTTAATCTCATAACTGAAACTAACACGTTTAAATGGTACATGCGATTCCATTGTATATATTCACTAATAGATTTCTCGATTTCAGATCTTCTGCCAGTGTGGTTAAGCCAATTAGACGTACTTACACTGATTAACCCAACAGTGTGTCCAAATAGCTGTGGAAGAATGTACAAAGGCCAATTTAGAAAAAGTCAGCTAAAAAGACATTTGGTATATGAGTGCGGTGTAAGCCCAAAGTTTCAATGCGATATTTGTTTTAGAAGATTTGCTAGAAAAGCAAATTTAAAAGCTCATTATATAAGTGTTCATAAAACTAATGTAGTATGAACTATGAACTAATTTTATATTTTGATAATTTATTACCGAACTGTCTTTAAAATTACCAATAACTTAAAATTGTTTTCGACATAATATAAATTGTATATTATTTAAAGAAAAATTATAGTTTGATCAAATTGTTAATCATAAAATATATATTAGGTAATGAAAGTTCACATAGCGTCTTCTTTCAAATTACTAAGACATCCATTAATTCAACTAAAATATTGTTAGTGGTTTCATAGAAATGTACATGAGAATTTGTGTAGATGTTTTTTTAAAGTTAAGTTTATCATTTTATCAATTTGTACACATAGTAGTAGCAAACCAGTTGAAGAAAACCTAAAAACTGTAAGCGAACACAAATTTGGAGGAATCGTTTTATTAAAACCAATCTTCTATTTGAATAAAACAGAATAAAGAGCGAAGGTTGATAAGTTACAAAATTATCTTTAAATTATTCTTTGCGTTAATACGTAAGCGTATGCGTTCTTATGTTTTAGTTTGATCAAACCTTGACCCTAACAGTATAAAATAGTATGTGTCATTTATATATATAATAATATAATTCAGGGAGGATATGTTAAACATTTTAAATTACAAGAAAGATAGATATACTTCTCGTTTTTTATAGTTGAATTAGTTTAAAATAAAACTGTTTTTTATATTTAAAAATGGTTATGACTGAGGTGATTAATTATTTGATAATACAAGACAAGACATTTTGTCATTATCTGCCTAGTGACTGAAATGGAAAGCGGTGTGTTATTTTTTCTTATTTACTACTATCTTAATTTCAGATTCACTTCTTTCGTGGTTTAATAGACTACATTACATAAGAAAATAACAGTTTTCCAAAAGTTGTTGCTGAATTTATGGCAGCCAATGCGGAAAATGTTTCACGAGGCACTAAAGCCCTGTATTTTTTACAATATTGCAATGTAAAATATGTTTTTAATGCTTGTTCAGTTAAAAAAAAACATTAAATGTGATACTCATTAGTAAAATAATATGACCTGATTTATTATTGTGCTAAGCGATACTTATTTATAAAAATTTCACTGCTAAAAGTATAACCTAAAAAACTCTTATTAAGAAACTTGTATGTCATTTTTGAACTAAATTTAAATGCCTCATTTGAATATTCGATGAGAGACACTTTACACCCCCAGCGGAATATATGTACTCGTATCAGTTATTTTATTATATAATTAAAATAATTGCTGTATGGTATCAAATTGTTTACAATATAATATGGTGTTTGTAAATAAAATGTTTGCATAGACCATTGTTCTAAGAGGAACATTTTTTGGTATTGTAAGTAATGTAATAATTATATATAGAATGCAATGTACATATTCGCCATTATTTGGCTTTGAAT